GTTTAGTAAAATCAAATTATTGTATACAGATACGGATAGTTTAATATATCATATATTTACAAATGATTTTTACACTGATATAAAACCTGACCTTTCATCATACTTTGATACCTCAGATTATGATACAAATAATATTTTTGAATATCCAAAATTAAATAAAAAGAAATTAGGTTTTTTTAAAGATGAAAATAATGGTAAAATCATGAAAGAATTTGTGGGTTTACGATCCAAAATGTACGCTTTTAACTTAGAGAATAAGACTATAGCCAAGGCAAAAGGGGTAAATAAATGTATCACTAAAAAGATGACAATGAATAGTTATAAGTCTTCTCTATTTAATAAAAAAGTGCAATATTATAGTATGCTTAGATTTAAATCAATTAAACACACAATTTTCACACAAAAATTAAATAAGATAGGTTTATCATATAATGACACAAAGAGACATATTTTAGATAATAATATTGAAACATTAGCTTGGGGTCATTATAAACTGCGTTAAGTGTTGATAGTTTTTACTTTTATGTCTGCGTTTAAGAAAAATTTATATTGATTGTAAAATTATGATAATACTATAATATGACGTAGTTTATTACATATTTAAACATTGTTTTATTGTAAATAATTTAAGTTAATTGTTGTTTCTATTTATTTGAGGTTGAGTTAATTGTAAAATTATGATGTACTAATTGTTGTTTCTATTTATTTGAGGTTGAGTTAATTGTAAAATTATGATGTACTAATTGTTGTTTCTATTTATTTGAGGTTGAGTTAATTGTAAAATTATGATGTACTAATTGTGTTAGAAATAGTATACAGATAATTCTGTTTTATATAATTTTTGGAATATATATTAATTGTTTACACCAACACTTTCATTTTTTATTTCACCCCTTTGAACTTTAGACGTGTGTTATGTTTCACTTTATCCATCCGTTCACTGCTATTGTGGCAGGACCAAGTGGGTGTGGGAAGTCAAATTTTGTAACAAATTTCATAAAATCAGTTACAGAAATATGTAATTGTGATTTTAATCAGATCACATGGTGCTTTGATGAAATGCAACCATTATATAATTTACCAAATGTTAACTATCATCAAGGAATTCCAAATCTTAATATGTTTGATGGTGAAAACCCACATCTTGTTATTATTGATGATCTAATGAGAGAGTCCGATGGAAGAATTGTGGATATATTTACAAAAGGTAGTCATCACAGGAATCTTAGTGTATTTTATCTAACACAAAATTTATTTCATCAGGGTAAAGGACAAAGAGACATATCTTTAAACTCAAGTTATATAATATATTTTAAAAACCCTCGAGATAAAACTCAAATAAGATATTTAGCAAGACAAGTATCACCAGATAACCCAAAATTCATTGAAAATGCCTACAGGGATGCAACTCTAGAGGCGCATGGATATTTAATGGTAGATTTAAAACAGAATACCAATGATTTTTGTCGTATCAAGACAAATGTCTTTCCATTTAATGGTTTCTGTACAGTCTACGTCCCCACAAAAGAGTTTAAATACACCAAGAATCAAACAATTGAAATCATTGCTAAATGATACATCGTCGACTCACAACGTATAAACATTTGCTAACCGCTTTGCATACGCTTAAACCAAAATATCAAAGAGCATTACTTAAAACGTGTGATGAAGAAGAAATTAACTGTATTTGTGAGTGTATTCATAACGTTTTACAAGGAAAAGTACCTCTTAAAGATCAGGATAAACAAAAATTGAATAAACATAAAAACATACTCCGTAAACTAGTACGTAAGTGTAAACATAAACTAACAAAAAATATAATTATACAAAAAGGAGGGGCTTTCTTACCAACAATATTAGGTGCAATATTGAGTGGATTAGTGAGTGGACTAGCCAGTTAACATGGAAAATGCAAAGAAAATGATACTTATCGAACCTGGATTGATTGAAAAATTAAAACAAGAAAATAAGGTTAATAGTAATTTATCTCGATTAGATATTGAAATGCAAAATATTATGAATAGTAAGACGGAAGACCGAAAGAAATGGATATTATATTTACAAACACTGCAAAGATACCTTCATTTTACCGAAGAGGATCGTCAACCACTCAAATTACCAATTTATTCTGATACATCTAATGAAGATTCAAATGAGTCAAAAATTGGTTTTAAAAATAAAGATAGAGATCTAAAAACTTCAGTTGATATTGAATCTTTGCTGGAGGAGAATTGATCCATTAAAAGTAAAGAAAATGATGAAAATCCACTTTACACACCAACTCAAATACTCAGTTTAATACCAAAAACTTATCATAAAAAAGGGCAGTTATTATTAAACTTAGTTGAAACAAGTAAAAGTAAAATACATTGGGATAACGAAGGTACAGTCATAATTGATAGTGAAAAAATTCCTGGAAGTAATATTGTTGATTTAATAAATGATTCACTAAGACCCCTAAAAAGAAGTGATCCGGTAGGGTGGGTTAGATTTGCTGAAGCATTAAAAGATATTAAAGTACCACTTACTTATATTGGAAATCCAAGGAGATGTGAGTTTATTAACCAACTTCAAGCAAAAGATCTGAACAAACCCTCTGAGATTGAAGTTCAAGAGTTTTCTACACCGTGCAGTAGAGATAAAAAGTCTACAACTAAAATACGTAAAGGACTTGAGTGGGAAAAATGGACTCCGTACTAGAAGAAATTAACAGGATTTATTATGATCCATCTAATCCCGCTGGTTTTGGTAGTATTGATAAATTATCAAAAGCCATGAAGGGTAAAATGAATAAAAAGCAAGTAAAGGAATGGTTAAAATCACAAGAAACATACACATTACATAAACCCATTCGAAAAAAATTCCCGCGTAATAGGTACATTCTATCAAATATTAATGAACTGTGGCAAGCTGATTTAAGTGATATGCGAACTTATTCTCAATATAATGATGGTTTCAAGTATATACTTTGTATTATTGATGTATTTAGTAAATATGCTTTTGCAAGACCAATGAAAAAGAAAAACTCAGAAACAACTAAAGAATGTTTTGAAAGTATATTTACTGAAAGTAATTTAACACCTACTCACATACAATCCGATAAAGGTACCGAATTTGTTTCAAAAGATGTACAAAAATACTTTAAATCCAAAAAGATTAATTACTATACCACTAACAATCCTGACATTAAGGCCAGTATTGTTGAACGATTTCAAAGAACACTAAAAATGAAAATGTGGCGTTATTTCACTCATAATAATACTTATAGATATATAGATGTTTTACAAGATTTAATATACTCTTATAATCACAGCTTTCACTCTAGTATTAAGATGTGCCCATGTGATGTAAATTCCAACAATATTATGACAGTTTGGACTAATCTTTATGACAGACGGTCAAAAAAACTTTCTTTAGAAAATCCTAAACCAAATTTCAATGTGGGTGATTATGTTCGAATAACTAAATATAAACATGTATTCCAAAAAGGATATGAATCAAATTGGAGTGATGAAATATTTATTATATCTTCAATAATTGATAGATCTCCATGGGTTGTTTATACAATAACAGATTTACAAAATGAACCAATAATTGGTACTTTTTATGAAAGAGAATTACAGAAAATCACTTACAACCCCACCTCACAACATAAAATAGATAAAATAATTGACACTCGTTATTCAGGTAACAGAAAAGAAGTATTAGTGAAGTGGAAAGGTTATCCAGATAAATTTAACAGTTGGATTTTAGCTTCTAGTTTAAAAGAAATATGAATAAAGAAAGTTTCTATTTAACTTTGCTCAGCAATAGTTCAATGGAATACTTTCCTGATAACAAGACCACAAATTTTTCAACGAAATTACCAAAAGCTATAAAATTAGAAGGTGAATGGTCGGTTGGAGTTGTCGAGTTTCAATATCCATGTACCATGTTTACTGTTCAAGACCATGAAAATGTTATATACATTACAAAATCTATGTTAATGCCTAATGAAGATAAGCCATCCACAGTGTACTACAAAAAACATATTCCAGCTACCAGCTATGATAACGTTGAGCATATTTTAAGAGTGTTAAATGGTATCGGAGAGAACTTGAAATTTCGCTATGATGAAATAACAAAATTTGTGTCTATTTCGGTATTGGATAAAAATATAACATCCGTAACATTATCACCCAAATTAAGTTTACAGCTAGGTTATGAACCAAATAAAAATCTCCTAGAGAGAAATTTTGGAAAGTGTCCTGCTAATTTACACTTAGGGTTACCATCTCAACTATTTCTATATTGCGATATTATCGATCCTCAGATTGTGGGTGATGTTATGACTCCTTTATTAAGAGTCATTTCATTAGATCCTACAAAATACATTTATGGTGCAAATAAAATGCACGTTTTCTCTCAACCTCACTACTTACCTGTTATGCGAAGAGAGTTCGATACGTTGGAAATAGTTATAAGATCGAGTACAGGACAAAAAATACCATTCCAGTTTGGAACCGTGTGTATTAAACTACATTTCCGAAAATTATAATAATGAATTCTCTTCGTGATCATCATAAATGTCCATATGAAAATTATTATACACATCAAGCTGGATCAGGAGTTGGAGTAATTTATAAGGGTTCACCATATTAACGCGGTCATGGTATTGGGAGCTTCTTAGGGGGGTTATTCAGATCAGTTTTACCTTTACTTTCAAGTGGTGCTCGAGTGATTGGTAAGGAGGCATTAAGCGCTGGAGTAGGACTTTTATCGGATATGGTTCAAGCCCGTCCTATGGAAGCCTCAATAAAAGATCGTCTAAAGCAAGTTAGTACGAATTTAAAACGAAAGGCTGATGAGAAAATTGATCAATTTAACATGACTGGATCTGGGTATAAAACTAAAAGAAAACGATTGACATCGTTCATTCCACCATTAACTGCTAAAGTGAAAGCTGCGAAAAAACTTAGTCTAAAACCAAAAAATATCAAAGATATATTTTCAAACTAAATATGTCTTTCCTTCATAATCATTCTTGCGAGTGCGTTAAGTCAGAATTGGATTTGTTTGCACTACCGTCTACACAAACTAGCATTGAAAATGGATTGTGGATTCATTATAAACCAATTTCATCTCTTGGTGATGATGGACCTATCGAGTTTCAAGTTCCTGGGACCGGCGATGACTACATAGATTTGTCTCATACATTACTCCACATAAAGGCAAAAGTATTAAATCAAGATTCAACTAACTTGGTATCTACTACAATAGTAGCACCTGTAAATAATTGGCTGCATTCACTTTTTAGTCAACTTGATGTTTATTTAAACCAAAAACTTGTATCACCACCTAATAATACCTATGCATATCGAGCATACATGGAAACCCTTTTAAACTATGCCCCTGCTGCTAAACAATCTCATCTTACTTGTAGTCTTTGGTATGAGGATACAGCAGGAAAAATGGATTCTACAGATGGTAAAAACATAGGATTTGTTAAAAGACAGGAATTGATTAGTGAAAGTAAGGAAATAGAAATGATTGGTCATCTTCACGGTGACATTTTTAACCAAGATAAATTTTTAATTAATGGTGTTGAAATGAGTGTTAAATTGGTTCGATCAAGAGAGAGTTTTAATTTAATTGTTGGATCAAACGATGTAAAGTTTAAAGTTTGTATTACGGACGCAACTCTTATTGTTCGACGAGCACGAATTAATCCAAGTGTATTACTCGCACATCAAAAAGTTTTAGCTTCTACCACTGCTAAATATCCTATTACTCGAGCTGAAGTAAAAGTTTTAACAATTCCTTCGGGTGTTCAAGGAAAAACTCTTGATAATATATTTTTAGGACAGGTACCGTAAAGATGTATAATTGGATTTGTGAACAATTCTGCATTTAATGGTTCCCTTACTAAAAATCCATTTAACTTTGAAAACTATGGTATTAATTCTTTCAGCTTATATATTGATGGTCAACAAATACCTTCAAAAGCTTTGCAACCATCTTTTAATAATAGCATATTTACATCAGCATATCATACTCTATTCTCGGGAACTGGTATTCACTTTCTTAATGAAGGAAATGGAATCTCTTGTGAACAGTATGGCAAAGGTTACTGTCTATTAGCATTTGACTTAACTCCTGATTTATCAGCTAACTCATCAACTCATTGGAATCTCATAAAGCATGGTAGTGTAAGAATAGAAGTACGATTTGAATCCTCATTAATACAAACAATTAACTGTATAGTTTATGCTGAGTTTGATAATATTATTGAGATAGATAAAAACAGAAATGTTACTGTAGACTATAGTAGTTAAGGTTATAATATGTGTTGTGTGTTAGATTTTATGTGTTATGTGTAATGCATTTTGTGTTTGTAACTATGTGAAACGTTATAAAATTAAATAAAACAAATTGTATGCAATATATTTTTTTTTATTTCTTTATAAATCTTCTATTTAATCTAATACAAAACACTGTTCGAGTTGAAATTTTACATAAGCACACTGACTAAACCACTGAACATGCTGCTGCCAAGGATCATCATCATCTTCCCAATCTTTTAAACCACCACCACAATGGAAACACTTGGTCCCGTCTGCATGGCCAGTATAAAAGAAACCAGCTTCTGCAAGATCTTCAGGTTTCTGTCGCATAACTAGAGGCCAGTTTTCGAAACTAAGCAAACGGCTAGATTTTGAACTGAAGAATGGATATTCAGCTCTTGAGTACTGCATACTCTTCTCGTTTTCTTCTCCACTCAGTGTTGTAGTTTTGTTATTCAATGATGTGTTTTGTACACGTATGCCACACTCATCTCTTCCTTCCGCTCTTGTCTTCCTGTAATTGAAGTAAACAGAATCACATTCACTAATGATCAGCTAATGACTGTCATTGTTAAAAAAGTATTTTTTAACTTTTTCACTTTCTGCTATTGTCTTTGTTATATTGTATACGAGGGCGTTTGTGTTGTCGTAGATGCTATCCTTATTAGTCTTTACGTAATATTTAATTCTAGTGGAAGCATGTTTCCAATGATCAGTAGTTGGAATCTTGGATAGCTTCTTCATATCGTACATTTCAATTTTGATGAGATGCGTCGCTTGGTCTCCGTCGTCAGAATTAGTAGAAATGTATGATACACCATCTCTAGCGGCTCGTGCTACGGTTGATGATAACAGCTTCCTCTTTTTTATTTTTGATTCAGCTTCAAAAAAATGATCAATCGATTGCGATTTTCTTTTTCCACCATCGCATGTGTTATTATTAATGACGAGGTCATCACTCTCTTCTTGAGGGGAGAGTGGCGAGTAGTAATACTGTTTATAGGTATCTTCATCGAAGCTCAATGATTTCTGCAACAACACAGTTATCATGTTAATATCAATTTGTTAACACTTAATCATAAAAGTTAAAAAAGTTAAAGTTACAGCCTATTAAAGTCCACTGCTGAACATAGGCCTCCTCTCATTTCTGAGAGGGTTTTAGAGCAAGGAAATGTCCGCCGCGCTCCCTCAATGTGTGTTGGCGAACTTCACATGCCTTCGAAATTTTCTCAGACATGCAGGTTTCCTCACGATGTTTTCCTTCACCACCAAGCACGTGGTAATAAGCACTTAAAATTGCTATTAACAATTTAATTGGTGCTGGCGGGGATCGAACCCGGGTCGCGTACTGTGAAATTTACAGCTAGCGCTAACCATCTGAGTTACCACGGCTTAATCATATACATACACAATATTTAAATAAAATAATACACACACATGAAAATAACAGAAAAAAAGTAATTTAGTCAATAGAATAAACACTTACATCCATAGCCTTTGGTGTATTGAAGTAACACAAAATGTACTATTGATAGATCCACTGTAGCCAAACGACCGTACACTAACTCGATGACTGCGTTTGTTGGTCTTATATACCACCAGTACGTAAAAATTCTAATCTAAAGTATTTCCGTAATGAGTTGATAATTACTTTATGCGTCAACCAGTTTATCTCACATTTCCGTTGCCTATCTCAACATTTCTTCGTATTGTGTTTTGTTTGGTGATCAATGACTCAAGTACGATTTGTATAACACAAAAATGCAATTTAATATTTAGAAACATATCAGTTTATCTCACATTTCCATTGCCTATCTCAACATTTCTTCGTATTGTGTTTTGTTTGGTGATCAATGACTCAAGTACGATTTGTATAACACAAAAATGCAATTTAATATGTAGAAATCACTATAATTGACCATTCCTATGTTATTCATTGAGTAGCTAGGTACTGTAATAATCTACTAATAGCAGTAATATCATGGATACACTAGATGTACAACAACATCTGAAAAAGATTCACCCCAGTCTAGAAAATAATGTTTATGCAGCTAATAGACTGCCTATGTATACCCACGTACCAACGTATATAATATGTAATTTGGATACAGATGATAAACCAGGGTCACATTGGGTAGCTTTATATATCGATACGAATGACGTCGGTCAATATTTTGATTCATATGGACGATCACCTGTACGATATCATCTAGAGTTTTTAAAAAGGAATTGTAAAAGATGGAACTGGAATGTTGATAGGATTCAGAATGAGTGGACTTCAGTTTGTGGCGAATATTGCTTAATGTATTTGCTATACAAGTTTCAAGGATGTTCAATACATAGTTTTACGAGTATATTTACAAGGAACACATTGTACAACGATATTTTAGTGGATGAGATGTTTCGCTCCTATTTTATAGATAATAATTAATAAGATTTTGTATTTTATAAATAAAAATTGTAACAAAATTATGTAATGTGTTTTATTGATGATTCAGATTAACGTTGTATAAACAAAGAATTATAATACAATAGCACTGATATAGTCGACGCTCACGCTGCAATGAAGGTGATTAAGGAACAATAGAACAATAGAAATAGGAACAATGGGACGCTAATGACGGTGGAGGCCCTTACCGGATATCAATTAGATATTAGCTAATTGATCTACACATCTCCGGAACCGTGCATTCTACACAAAAATGGACCGCGGATTCGTGATCAGAGCATGTTTTTTTAGGATCGGGCGGCGACGAACGTCGTTGAACCACGTCTGACTCAGGTGGTCTAGAAGTGGTACAACTACACTACTAACGTACGAGTATTGAATACTACGGTTGGGTTTGGTGGCTAGGTGTTAACACGTATAACTCTCATCGAGCTACCACGCTAGCAAACCCACATTGGTGACCCCCACGTGATTTGAACACGCAACCTTCTGATCGTATCGTCGAGTGGGTGTCGTAAAAGGCGACAGAGGGAAACAAAAGAGGAGGTGGACAGCTACATCTTCCTAATAAAATCTAGAAAACAAAAAAATGCGGTTGCCAACTCTCTTGCCAAACTTAGCAACTATAGTAAATATCCTTACACAAGGACGTGGGCTTTTGATAGGCTGTATGTTGATGGTGATGATAGTGATGAGTGAAATTTTGGTTTCCGAAAGAAAAACTTATCAACACTCGCATGTTTTTGCCTCATAAAGATCATTATAGAATGAACTCTTTGAACGAAAATTAGATGTGGATGTAGTTTTGACATGAGTAACGCCTTTGATTATGTTAATCGTGAAGGGTTACTTAATAAATTTGAGAAATATGACATCAGCGGTAAAGCGTTTGACTGAATTAAAAGATACTTACAACATCCTAAACAAACTAAAGCTATAAGTAATTTTGTTTATCTAAATGCGGCCACAAGGGAGTATTTTGGGATCTCTACTCTTTTTAATGTACATTAATAATATTCCTAATACTAATAAAGAGAAATGTATTTTACTTGCTGGCGATAATACAGTGATAATAAAAGCTAAAGATAAAATTTTTTGACATTACAACTGTTTAATTAATTAGGATGGTTATATGCATCTTATTGATATGATGACAATATCATAAACATTATTAAAACATATTATTATATTATAAACTATATATTCTAATATTGGTACGCCCAAACGGGTAAAATAAGTCAAATGTCTACACGTGGAAGAGCCATGCTGTAGCTATATTATAGTTGTAGCACGAATGGGTCGGCTCGACCGCGTACGAAACACGCTCTCACGGAACACCAGCGTAAAATAGCAGTTCAATGCTCCTGTGTTTCGTATGGTGATTGTAGAAAACCGGAGACCCTTTTTACCGGAAATGTGGCATTTCATCTTAGTCCTCAGGAGTGAAAACGCATCTACATTTTCATTCTTAATCGAGGTTAAATGTAGATGTCTATGAGCCACAGCCTCCACTTACCATCAGGTGGAATGTGAACTCATTTATCCACAAGTTTCCTCGAAATTCTAATGTGCCATACCTGCCCAAGTTGCTCGAGCCGACGTATTTATTTTTCTCAACGCAGCATACGATTGGTTCATCACCTTCCCAGCTGCAAATCTGAAATATGACATTTTGATGATGAATGAGCTCATAGTCAAACTGATTAGTAGTTCTTGCAATTTACAAAGTCGAGTGGCCTTTACTTGTGGTAAACACACAGAAAACTCTTAGTAAATCGCACAGTGGTGGAATGCGTTTTCATTTCACTCATTTCACAAATGCCTGAACGATTGAAAAAAAAATTCAAAGGGTACGGATATATGGATGATACACAATGTGCATTAAAATTACCATAAAAATTTGCTAGGCGTACTAAGAGGCTTTTTGGCATGCTAAATCGCTTACTTAGCGGTCAGCCATCGCAGAATCTATTTTACTTAATGATGCCTGCCTCGCGAACAGGCGAAACACGTACATATTATCGACGGTGGTGTGTCTTCCCTAGTTTGAAATAAGTGGTGACGGTAATAGTGCACGCAATTGATGGCGGGCGGGAGGTGCCCTTCAAACTGGGTAAGGTACATCATTTTACTTTATTACAAGGATCTTAGCTTTTTTTTTTTTATAGGAGACGAGCAAACGAGCATGCGGCTCACCTGATGGTAAGTGACTACCGCCGCCCATGAACAACCGCAACACCAGGGGAATTGCAAATGCGTTGCCGGCCTTTTAAAAAGGAGTAGGCTCTTTTCTTGAAGGTCCCTAAGTCGTATCGGTCCGGAAAAATCGCTGATGGTAATCGATTCCACAAGGAAGTCGTGCGAGGAAGAAAACATCTTCTAAATCGCATAGTGGTGGACCGCCAATCATCCAGATGATGTGGATGGCATCGGGAGTTCTGCCGCGATGTGCGTTCATGAAATTTGGCGGCTGGGATTAATCCGAACAATTCCTCAGAGCACTCCCCATGGTAGATGCGAAAGAAAATGCAAAGAGATGCAACATCTCTTCGCAGTGCCAATGAATCGAGCCGATCGGAAAGGGCTCGGTCGTCGACGATTCGAGCCGCTCTGCGCTGGATGCGGTCAAGTGGAAGGAGCTGGCACTGGGGAGCCCCTGCCCAGAGATGGGAACAGTATTCCATGTGAGGCCGAACCTGCGCCTTGTAAAGTTGCAGGCGGTGTGCCGGCATGAAATACTGTCCCTGTATAACTTTGCTGTGTTTCATTAAATCAGGAAACACACCAGTAGTGCTATTCTGTAAATAACTATTTCGATATCGAGCTTCACCTGAGTGACAAAGATCACTTCGAAAGCGATCCCGCTTGACCTTGATTTGGAATTCTGTAAACATGCGTTACGCACTTGCGAAGTGAAGTGAGTCTCGAATCCGAGAGCAATAATCTAGTTGTGTTCGTTTTATCGATATTCTTTTCGAATTACTTTATTTTAAAATATGTGCATGATATTTCTACGAATTCGCTATATAAATTGCTTAAATACTTCAAATATCTAATATTTGACAAAGAAATATTTATTTTTATTGAAATAAAGAAAAAAGAAACATTTGCATTGGCTCTATGTTGTTAGGATTCGTGCCTCGAAAAAAGATGTTTTTGTGTACATACAAGCCGACTGACGTTTAGAAGCGATTTCAAGTTATTATAGTAAAAAGTTTGTTTTAGTGTTCCGATTACTAAAATACTGAATATACCATGAAGTAAGTATATACTTTTGTTATTAATATTAGTTTCTTTGTAACTTAGTCAATCCCTACTGTAACATTAATGATTTCGTTTTAATTATAGCCCTGTAGAAAGAGCGGCTCATCCCTCAACAGCCCAAATTCACGCACTATTAAATTTTTTGGAGATGAATCCAAGCCTTGCAAAAGGTTTTTCAAAAGTTCCCAGTGCAAGGGACACAGCCCGTAAAAGCTGGGAGAAACTGGCGCTTCAACTCAATAGTTTAGGGGGCTGTGTTAAAACCTGGAAACAATGGACTAAAGTTTGTAATTTTGTGACCAATTACTTTTACGTCATAGTAAGTATACATAGTTACTTAAATTTTAAATAAATCTGTTTTAGTACTGGGCTGATAAAAAAAGTGCTGTTAAGAAGAAGGGTGCATTACGCTTTAGAACTAGAAATAAGACTGGTGGCGGTAAAGAGGTGGTGGAGCTTTCTGAGATTGAAGAGAAAATATTAGCCTTAATGGGTGGCGAAAGTTTTGCCACTGGTGACAGGCATTTAGAAATTAATCCATTTTTTGAAGTAAGTTGAATTGTTTTTACTTTAATAATATTTTATAAACTGAGACAGTTTTAATGTATTTACATATTCTTTTTTAATTTTTAGGCCCAGGCTGGAAAGAGTCTTGAAAATAGTCCCTCTTTGCTGGCTTCTACCCAGTTAATAGGCCTAAATCCATTACCGTTACCAATGGTAAGTTATTTTGGCTAACACAATGATTAAACTATCCCAACTTCTACAGTTACCGTACAAAACCAATTATAGTATTATATTTCATCGATTGACTGTGAAATCAAATCATGTAAATTTGCATAGTATAAATTTTTTACATATAAATTTTTAAAACAATACGAGAATGTGAGAAAACCTACTAATATGGTTATCATATTAGATATAGATAATGGTACCATATTAATTATTGGGGTGATTGAAAGTATTTATTAGTCCTGATATGATTTGTATAACATAATCCAAAAGGTAAAGAATTATTTAAAGTAAATTTAAAATACCTGAAATATTTTATGAAGAAGTCTCTTCTTCCAATTTTTTCACATTATGTTCTTTATTATTTAACATACACATTTAACATGCAAATATGTATATAATTAAATGATTTGTGATTGATGTTTGAATGTTTTCAGGAACAGCAAACACAACACAAACACACAACACCAAGTTCTATTGGAGATTTTCCAGCTGGAAATGTTCCTGTTGTAGAGGTATATATGTGTTATTTTGTCTGCATACTATTTATATTATTTATTTAAATTTCTTTATAAATTAGGATGTAGAGTGTATGTGTAGTATCTAGATAGAAATATTAAAAATAATATTCTATGTATATTTACATAATATTTTAATACAAGAGTCTGTCAGTTATCATTATTATTGTTTCAGACAACACAACAGCATGCAATTGAAAGGCAGGCTATTTTATGCCTACCTGGCACATCTGGGCCATCTTCCAGGCCAAGTGTTGTTCGCATGGTGAGTAATATACTACTGATATTTAAAATTTGTTCATTACACAATTTTAACACCTAATATATCTAATTTTAGGTATCACTAAGCCCTTTACCGATGGTGGTCCAATCTCCACCCTGCACACCACCCACAGTTGGAGGTCCTGCAAGTCCTCCCCCAACTCCTTCGGGTTCAGGCAGCCACCCACATCGGCTAAGAAATGCACGTCGCCAGTTGATTCGATCTCCAGTGCATAATCATCCTCTGCTCAATACAAGTAAGTATATTTTACTACACCTCAAAGTTGTGTATTGTCTTCATACCTCTGTATTCTCATTTCAAATTTTTATAATCTCATTGCGGTAAAAGAAAAAAACGTAAAAATTGAAATTAGAACTTAAAGTGAATGAGGGCTAATAATATTTCACTCACCAGATGTCGCTAATTGTGACTGAGGTAAATTTTTTTGTTCCACAATATTAGTTAATTGTGAAATTAGTTTTAAATAACAGTTTATCATTATCTAGAGTATTATATTAATACACAACACAATGCTGCAGTGGTTTCATTTTTAAATATTTGCACTTTATAACTCTTTTTTTAATTTGTTTACTTTTCGTTATATTTATAGTTTGGTTTATTTATTTCTAATCTAATTAATATATAAAATATAACTAATAATACTGAAAGAAACCTTAAAGTTCATATTTTCCTAAGACTTTAAGACTAATTATTTATCTTTCCCGCTATGAAATCTGTCAAATATTATTCCTCATTGTAAAGTGGCGCCGCCCTGGTGGCAGAAAAAGTCAATAGTGACTTTGTTCGACGCTTCATTGATTAGTACTGTTTGGTATTTTATCAAAATTTGTAACTTAATAGGAATAATATATTTAAATTACCATTTATTACTGTTATAGCAACATCAAGACTTCGCCATAATCGTCGAAGTCGTGCATCACCTCCATCTCAACGGCGATCACAATTCACAAGTTTTTCGGAGCGATTTTTGGCGATAGAAGAACAAAAACTCGAAATAAATCGCCGTAATTCGGAGCTTTTAGAAATGCTCGTTAATCAAACAGTGCAGAGCATTGGAGAAGGATTGAAATTATTGCAAGAGACTTTAAAAAAATAAATATTTGTAATATTATAATTTTTATTAAAATATAGTATGGTTTTTAATCCAATGCATGTAATCGTGCTCGCCATAGCATATTAATTAGTTCTTGTCGACTAGACTGTCCTATTACAGCCTCTTGAGATATTGTTTCATTTCTAGCCCCAGCTTGTGTATGAATGACTGTGTGGAAACGTAACTCCTCTTCATTATCGTAGTCGTGCAAAGCAGGAGCCGGTAGCCCTGCGCGATTACAAATGTTGTGTAACACACAACATGCCACTACAATTTTTGCAACCACATCAGGGTGGTAATGTAGTACTCTGTGTACCAGAAGACATCTAAACCTCCCCTTTAGCCTGCCTATAGCTCTCTCCACGGTATTACGCGCTGTGGCGTGGAGTTTGTTGTAGTGTGCAGCAGGTGTACCTTCTTCTACATTAGGCACCGGTACCATCAAGTATGCTCGTTGTGCATACCCAGAATCTCCTACAATAACAAAAAAATACATTTTAATGTCCCCTATCAACTAATTTGAAGCGTCAGTAGCCTAATGGCAGGGCGCGGACCGCGAAATCGAAAGGTCGTGGGTTCGAATCCGCCATTCGACTACTGTCGTGAACCACTTCTAACACAAGCATTTTAAGCTTACCAGAAGTGGTTAAAGGGAATATTAGTAAAGTTTAATAGCATTACTAGTATTTAAAAAAAAGATATTTATCCTAACTAGCTAAATCCAGTGGTTTTACCCATGTGGATATTGATATTACAATCATTATTTTATCAGTAAAGTTGCAGCCTATTTACGTCCCACTGCTGGGCACAGGCCTCCTCTCATTTCTGAGAGGGTTTTAGGGCAAGGAATTGTCCACCGCGCTGCCCTAATGCGTATTGGTGAACTTCACATGTCTTCGAAATATTTTTTTTTCTTATTTCTCAGACATGCAGGTTTCCTCGCGATGTTTTCATTCACCGCCGAGCACTTGGTAAATCAGTACTTAAAATTGCAATTAACAATTTCATTAGTGCCGGCGGGGATCGAACCCGGGTTGCTCAAGTACTGTGAAGTTTACAGCAAGCGCTAACCATCTGAGCTATTTTATCAGGAGAGTAGTTATATATTTACCAAAGTATTTTCTTATATAAATTTTCATATTGCAAAGAAAAGGTTCTCTCCTGTATTACTATGTACCTCTCCTGTATTATATTATGAAAGAATTGTCTGCTTTTAAACAAACTATATTTGTATAGGTACTTGTAACTTATAATGTCTACAGTACTTTTTATTTTATCTACATATTATTTTTTAGAAAAATATAGTTTGTCGAGTGAAGATAGGCCACAAGTATTATTAACTAAGGAATAAACGATATACCTATTAAGAAATGGGGTAACTCACCTAGCAAATGTACAGTTTCACCAGCATTCACTAAGTCCTCAAGATGGTTCCGTATGATGCTATGATTGAAAATGAAGCTATCATGTGTTGCTCCCCCATAGATAGCATCAACATGCAATATATTTAAGTCCGCATCAGTAATCTACAAAACAAAAATAACATTTTATCTTGAGTTTAAAAAAAGCACGAGTTACCTATTCTTTGTTTCCATATCTACAAAAAGAAATATTATTAGATATTATTAAAAATCTTACCAATTGAATATTTCTTGCATGATTTCCTTTACGGCAGTAATATCGCTCTTCATTTTCTGATGGCCTAACCATGGTGACATAGGTACCATCAACACATCCTATCACCCCAGGAATTTTGTATTTCTCGAAGAATCTGTAAAGTTATGGTAGGTTTAACATAAAAATATAGGTACTACAACACAATTATAATACATAATATACCGACCTTTCCTTTAGTTTGAGCCTCTCCATGGAATTCTGTGGAAACCGTATATATTTCCTTACAACACTAGGGTGATTTAGGGCGTCAACTACCTCGCGAACACATCGGGAGACAGATGGTTGTGATATATAAGTGTTCACATTCTTTCCACAAATTCTCTGATAGCTACCGCTAGCCAAGAATGAAAGGACACATAATAACTGAAAAAATAATCATATTTTGTAAGAAAAAAGCTTATGGGAAGTTATAAAAAATAGTGTGCACGTAAAAAAAATATTCACCTTTATTTTAACAGACAATCCGCGACCTCGCCGGCGAGGATTTTTCATAAGATGTATGATGTCTTGTAACACATTATCTATCAACTCCTCAGACAATCGATAATTTTCAACAAAGTCTTTGTGACTGTTAACTACTTGAAATCTACGAATTTCACAAGCTTGACGACGACTATCATACATATCTATGGAATGTGCTTCTTCTAATAAACTCTCTAAAAAAAACCAACGAGACATACCTATCGAATTATTATAATTCTTATACTGTAACACACTTAACTACGGTGGACTAATGAGTTAAAATGAACTCGCACACCAATCTCGATAGGCTCTTAGACCACTTTAAAAATGACAAATGAATTCGTTGTTATAAGTGTCGAATATCGACGAGTGAAGCGGTAAATCCCTTTACAGAATACCGAATTCATACTATTAATATCAACATTCTCACGCAATACGGTTCGTCACGTCGCCACACTCACAAGTGTGGCGCTGCCGGCACTGTCGGGATTTAGAGAATACGAATTTGATATCTCACCGCGGATTCCGCTGTCGAGACACGAAAGTGTTGTTACAGAATAGCATGGCAGATTCGATATTAGCATTAGAATAGAATAGAATAGAATATTTTTTATTCAATATACATTACATGTGTAATTCTTATTGAAAGTCATTTTTTACTTTACCACTGGTTCGAAAAAAACCCTCTGTCCTGGGAAGAACCAGCAAGAAACCCAGCGGGACTTTTTTTTTAAATAAATTTTACAATATAAATGATTACGAACTATTTACAAAATTTATTTTAGAAACTGCTTGGAAGCGATCACCTCATTCCCAGGGGTTATTATCAACCATGTATTCATTTATACTATAATAACCCTTTTTATACAGTTTCAGCTTAATAAAACATTTAAACTTGGTAATAGAGAGAACCTGTACACTTTCCGGGACCTTGTTGTAATAGCGTATACATTGCCCCAAGAATGAATTACTGACTCTGTGGAGTCGAGAAACTGGTATCACTAGCTTGTGTTTGTTCCTAGTGTTTACAGAATGTATATCACTTCTTTTACTAAAACTAATTTAAAAACATTGAAAATAATAGCAAGTTGGGGTGCGATCGCATCTATTATAGACGCAATAAATTTAACAGAAATCCCCTATAGATATAGTTTTCTTAATATCAATAGTTTTGAAATATTTTACAATATCACCTGTGTGATACAGGTGATATTGTAGTAGTCATTACGATACTTCACAAGTCCACTGCTGAACATAGGTCTCCCACGTGAAATGTCACAAAGCACGGCCCTCAGCCCATCGCATTCATCGACTTCTTGCATGTCTCACCACGTCGTCACTCCATCTTGTGGGAGCTCGCCGTACACTTCACCAACGGGTATGAGGCTGCCACTCGAGAACCTTTCTTCCTCATCGGTTGTCGTTTCTTCGAACTATATGTCCGGCCCATGGTCACTTTTGCTTACTAATCTGTTGGGCTATGTCGGTCACTCTGGTTCTGCAGATATCCTCATTTCTAAGTTTATTACGCAGAGAAACTCCGAGCATACCCTCTCCATAGCTCGCTGAATGACCTTAATCCTCATACGGCCAGCAGTGAAGGACCACGTCTCAGATCCATAAGTCATCACACGCACTGGTTGTACAATCTTGTTTTCAAGTTTTGAGGTATAACTGACGAGAAGACGTGCCGTAATTTCCCGAACGCTGCCCAGCCGAGTTGAATCCGTCGATTGACCTCTCGGTCGAAGTTGGACTTACACTATATACCTGTCTTACACCTTTCTGCAGTTGGATAGGTTACATACTCGGATAGCCATCGTAGCCCTATTGTACAAACACTTCAGCACTTCGATATACCGACAGTCAACTTGGCTTCGTTGAAGAGACTGTAGCCTCGCCCAAATTATTACCTACGCGTAAATATATCAAAATCATTATTACCTACGTTCTTTAGTAGTTTGATAAAAATACTTGCCTTTGGATTCATCTTATACTTTTTGAATTCATCCATGGCCGGCTTGCAGTCGTTGAATATCTTACAGGTTCCGCGTTTCCCATTTTTTGTGCAGAGGTCACCTATAAATCAAGTTATAATTCACAATCAGCTTTAATATTACATACGTGAATGTCTGTAAGTCTGTATAAATGTCTTCAACTGCCGTATACATAGCACTCGTAAAACTTTCCACTTATTTTATCTCCTCGCTCTATGTTTTCAACAATTTTAAATAGTACCTCTGTGAAACCTCTACTCGTTTAAATTCTCAAGACTCGATTTCACATATGATTGTGTCAAACTCTTTTTCGGCGTCTTTTCATAGGTTGAAAAGACTTTAGATTGGATATTAAATGCTCTAAAATATATTCTAGTTTCAAAATTAAAGCTTCCATTTTGTATTATAACTGTTACCGTTACAGCCCATTAAAGTCCACTGCTGAACATATGCCTCCCCCATAGATTGCCTCATAGGGGAGATATTTGCCATAGTTGTAATGTTACTGTTGATTTGAAAATTTTACGTCTCAGTGGGTCATGTGCTCCTAGTAGATTATCTTCTATACATCCATCCATTACAGCCCATGAAAGTCCACTGCTGAACATAGGCCTCCCCCATAGATTGCCTCATAGGGGAGATATTTACTATAGTTGTAATGTTACTGCTGATTTGAAAATTTCACCTCTTAGTGGGTCATGTGCTCCTGGTAGATTATCTTCTATACATCCATCCATTACAGCCCATTAAAGTCCACTGCTGAAAACATTGGCCTCCCTCATAGATTGCTTTACAGGGGAAGATTTTGCCATAGTTGTCACGCTTGGCAGGCAGTTTAGCAACCTCAATTTTTTTATTATTTTTAGTTGTTATAAGGAAGACGCTGCTGCCCATCTCCTAATTTGTTTTCCTCTGTCGTCTCTTACGACACCCACGGGATGATATGAGGTAGTGGGTATTCTTACACCGCCGCTACACGGTAACAAATGTAAGTTTGTATTATAACATAAATATACATATGTCATATACTTCAAAATTATTAAAAAACGTACACCTATACGTACCTTCTTCCGTGACCACAAACGATACAACTGTTAAAATGATCAGGATTTCGACCTTCATTTTCATGATCCTGAAAGAAAAGTTATGGTACGTGAGGGTAATATGGCCATCCGGTTAATATGGTCACTTTCTCATAACTCAAAACCTACAATTTTGATTTCTTGCCTTTATTTTTGGCTCAGTTACTACCGATACACTACTGGAAAAAGATCCCAAGCACACAAAATCAACAGTGGATACCACATGGTCAGGATTAGTAGGTAGGTGCGGGCAAAGCAACTCAATAAAGTTTTATCATAACCAGTGGCTACTACAACACATCTACACCGCCAGTCCACATTATTTTAATTGAATCACTTCAGACAAAGGTGGTGACAGATGTGTTATCACACTTGAGACTCTCCTCGTCCAATACTAAACAGAAACAGAAACTTTTTTTATTCAATATAGATTATAAATAATACTTATTGAAAGTCATAATTTTGTTTAATTACCAAGCAAGGAAGATCCAGCAAGAAACCCAGCGGGACTTTTTTTTAAATAACAGCTTACAATCATGTATGTTTCACGAATTAACAACACAACGAATTAGAAATAGCTTGGTAGCGATCACCTCATTTCCAGGGGTTATTATCATCTATAAATTTTTTAATATTATAATAACCCTTCTTATACAAACTTAGTTTAATAAAGTTTTTGAACTTTGAGCAGGTCAAATTTTGTATATTTTCTGGAATTTTGTTGTAAAAGCGTATACATCGCCCCAAGAATGAATCGACTCGATGGAGTCGAGTAACTGGTACTACTTGCTTGTGTCTGTTCCTAGTATTTACAGAGTGAATATCACTAATGTGTTTCTTTTGTGTACATACACTACATTTTCATAAATGTATTGAGAGGCCAAGGTTAATTTATTAATTTTCTTAAATTTTTGTCGCAGCGACTCTTTAGGCTTTAAATAATAAATTGCTCTTATGGCCCTCTTCTGTAAAACAAATATAATTTCAGTGTCAGCTGCGTGTACCCATAGCAAAATACCTTACGACATTATGCTATGGAAATAGCTAAAGTAAACTAGTCTAAACTCTAGATGTGGGTGTGGGTTTGTACCAGTTTAGACTAAGTCTAGTCTAAACTGGTACAAACCCAGACCCACATAAATAATTATAGAAGTCCTAACACTTGTAAGCGGGTACATCTCAGTTATTTTGATGGTGAGTGATTACTGTGGCCCATAGACATCTAAATCTATCCTCGTTTACGAATCAAAATGTAGATGCATTGTCAGCCGTAAGGACTAAGATGGAATGCCTCGTATGTAGCAAAAAGGGTCTCCGGTTCTCTACACTCACCATACGAAACACAGCAGCGTTAAGCTGCTATTTTACGCTGGTATCCTGTGAGAGCGTGGTCCCGGTCGAACCGACCCATTCGTGCTAGAACTATTAATATCAGCTATATTATGTAAAAACATAGCATGTAAAAATCATCTTTCGAAGCAAGAGTGAATAA